GTAAAAACACGATTGCGTCCACTGTGTTGGTTAATTCAATATGACTTAAATTGGTTCTTGGGCCATGAAGTTTCAAGATACATTATAAAAAAGCTGCATTCTACAATAAACTATTTTAAAAATGGTTTAAAGGCACAAAATAGGGCAATTCTGAAGGGAGTTTTGGTGCTAGTCTTTTTTAATCATGATGAGGAAAATTTTTATTTTTGCTTTTTAATTCTCGATTGAGATCCGAAACTTGAAAAGCCTAATTGCCAAATCAATTGAACCTCAATCCGCAAAAGAAATTGTTGGACTAACTGAAAAAAATATTTTCAGGGTTATAGGAATAGTAAATGAAACTTCAGTATTACCAATCGTAAAGGCTTTTGAGAGCTAAGTGATTTTTTACCATTCCCCTGAAGAACTCGAGGATTATTTGACTTAAGATTTTTATGTGTTTAAGACCTTTTTATTTAAGCAATCCACGGACTCAATAATATAATTTCATAGCAAAAATGTCGTTGATTGTATATTTATTGCACATTATTGACATGTAACCCCGAGTTTCGCAGGTTTTGTAAAGAGAAGGTTTAATTTCTTAAAGAGAAAAATGAAAAATATTCGGGTTCCAATATACCATACCGTTTATTTGTTAACAACAATTTTATTATTGACCTGCGAATTCTTTACGTCGAATGTTTCGCAAGTTCTTATGGTCAAAGGACCGAAATTGTTCTCAATTATCACCATGGTACATTGCCTTCATAGTGATCTCAATTATCACCGTGGTACTTTGCATACATTGTTTTACCAAAGAAAGGATAAAATTCCATCCGCTAACTCTTCCGTTTTAACTTGGTCTTGCGACTGTTAAGATCTCCCAAATTAATCAAAAGCTATGAGGTTCATAAAAAAACTATTTAATCTTGTAACATAAGATAATATAACGATTTTTGTATTTTTTTACATTAATATTAAGATCCTTCCTATGGCAGCAATATGATATAGTAGTCTGATTTTTACCAGATTTACCAGATAATTCTGTAGAACTGTTTGTGCCTAACCGAAGTAGACACTAGCGTTGCTGGTCATGTTGAGCACCCCTGGGTACGAACAATAACAAAACATGATCAAAAACAAGAGAAAACGCTAAAGTCGATTGCCTCGACTGTAAGATACCCGTTAGCCAGCTAAAGGGAGTGTGAGTGCAGCAAAACGGCTGTTTTCTCGCCACCTAACCTATAGCGCCACCTATCGTCGCTGCATGCAGAGTGTTGCTGCATGTAGTGTGCAATCTCGATTGAACTTACTAATTACACTCGTTAACAGCCAAAAAAGTTCAGCTTTAAAACCTCTTTTTTCAGACTAACATGTTCTTTCTGTACACGCTGGTATCACTCAGATATTCGCGAAGAAAGAGACAATAACATAGAATCCAATTATCTAACCGTTTAGCAGTTGATACATTCTAAAAGTAGATATATGTACCAAAGAAGTTAGCAAATGTAAATGTTCTATCCACTTTTTGCAAGCACTCGATTTGTAAATTTGTTTACCCTTGCAGAGGGTATAATGATTTTAGTCAGAAGTTTGCAACGCAGTGAAGGAGACGTTTCCGACCCCATAAAGTATATATATTCTTGATCAGCATCAACAGACGAGTCGATCTAGCCATGTCCGTCTGTCCGTCCGTTTCTACGCAAACTAGTCTCTCAGTTTTAAAGCTATCGGGCTGAAACATTGCCAAAGTCTTCTTTCTTTTGCAGGTAGTATATAAGTCGGAACCAGCCGGATCGGACAACTATATCTTATAGCTCCCATAGGAATAATCGGAAAAACAAAATATATCTTTGGTGTTTTTTAACATATAACCTCCTAAGCCTGGAAATAACATTTTTTAATTAGTTTTGAATTTCTGATTTAATTTTATCAAAATCGGAAGACTATATCATATAGCTGCCATAGGAACGGTCGTAAAATTATATAAATTAAATTATCATAAAATTATAGCTTCGGTGTTTTTCAACATATAACCTCCTAAGCTTGGAAATAAAATTTTTTAATTAGTTTTGAACTTCGAATTAAATTTTAACAAAATCGGACGACTATATCCTATAGCTGCCATAGGAACGATCGCAAAATTGGTGGGAAAATAAAATGAAACAAATTATAGCTGTTATTTAACATATAACCTCCTACGCTTGGAAATAACATTTTTTAATTAGTTCTGAATTTCGGACGACTATATAATATAGCTGCCATAGGAACGATCGGAAAATTGGTTGGAAAATAATATGAAAAAAAATAACATTTTTTAATTAGTTCTGAATTATCAATTTAATTTTATCAAAATCGGACGACTATATCATATAGCTGCCATAGGAACGATCGAAAAATTGGTGGGAAAATAATATGAAACAAATTTTAGCTTCGGTGTTTTTTGACATATTATCGTATACTATTGGGAATATAATTTTTTGTATTTGTAAATTTAATAATTATAAGCTTCGGCTTGCCGAAGTTAACTTCCTTTCTTGTTTTTAGTGATATCAGCGTGTACAGGAACAACATATTACTCTAGAAAAGGGGATTTTATAGCTGAACTTAAAAAAATATTTTTTGTAAGCTATTGTTATTAAATATAATTTGGCTATATGCTTATAATGAATAGTCCGTTTTGAATCATTTTTGGCATGTTAATGTGCATTAATAATAAGAGCAATCTTCATTTAAATTTTTACAAAATTGAAAAACGTGTGCGCTAGACGGGTTTAAGCGTTATGTGCGTTTGTGGGCGTGGCAACCTGCTAATTATAAGAATAATTACCAATTAGTTAATGAGCAACAGGGACAATAATAATATTACACGATTTAAATTAATTTTGTATTATTCATTCAAGAATTCCACTCTACAGTTTGCTTTAGTTCTAAAAGCCAGGTTTCACCAGGTGAATCACCGGTGACGTGTCAGCTGTCACGCGTGACACTTTATATAGACATTTGTATGGAATTTCGCTTTTTCACTCATGGTAGCTTATATGAAAATTGTTCCTAGCCTGGAGTGACTTAACGCATGCCTTATACGTATTTGCCGTATGGTCGGTTACCTCGTTACATGTCCTTGCTGATTTCATGTGTGACATAAACTAGAGTTTCATCGATCAAAATTGTTATAAATAGGCTTATAAAATAAAATAAATTTTTTTATGTGTATTATTTGTATAGATTTTTTAAAATAATTTTTGTTGCAGTATTTAATTTTTTTGTTTTTTTTTAATTTTTTTTAAATTTATTTGTTAGGGCCGTTCGTGGAGTCGATTAATAATACTGAACATAAATATTTGTTTTTAATATATTTTAGTTATATATTACTTTTTTCTGCGCGGGCAGCGCGGCCGTCAAGAACGAAACAATAAAAACTGCAAGTAAACAATTTACATAATTGTATATTTAACTTTTGTTTTGTGAAAATACTTTTGACCACCCCTGTATGACAACATGGGTTTTGTGGGAGTGGGAACAGGGCTATTCCGCGGATGCTGCAGCAAGTCGCCCAGCATCCTGGCAATGCATGTCTCCTCCACCTGTCCCTTACCGGGCGGCATTTTTGTCCTACTATGGAAGCCACTGCGTCCCCCAGCTCCCCTTAAGCTGCCAAGAAGGCGTCCTTTTTCATCTACACTGACCTCCTGCAGGCGTATTTCGGTTTTTCTTTCCATTTTTAATTTAAGTTTGTTTAGCTTGTTTATTATTTGCGCGGCGGCTAATGGCGTTCATCGGAAATCACTCAGAAAAACTGGTATTTTTTCGGGAATTTCCTTAGCTTGTCTGAGTACCTCGGTGAAAAACGGAACTGACAAAAAGCGTTAACTGCCTATTTGCCTGTCGCTTACTCCTATGGTCTGCTCGAGATTTTCGTCGATGTGAGTACTAGGTTACACTCTTACGCCCACAAACTTCCCAAAGCAGTTGCTCCTACAGTTTAAAAGCTAGAACATTTTTTTTATTTTAACACTCAAAATTTTCTTGAGTTTTCGCCCGGTTTTGTGTCACGTTTGACTTGACCCCTCTGTAGTTGAAATTGTACAACGGAGTTTCAATTTTAGTTCATAAGGTAAAACCTGGATGAACAAAAATCGAAATAATCATAGTTTCAATTCTACGACTATTTCTTCCGGTGCAGAAATTATTATTCTAGTCTAATTATTGACTTTCACCATTGCCGACTTTAAGATATTTCGCAAATTGCTTTAGTAGCTTGCTGAAGCCTCTTTGCTGCGCCCATGAATTCAAGACAGAGATAGACGTAGGCTACGCTACGCATAAAAAACGATTGGTAAAATTGACCAATATAATATTATAGCGGTCCCAACCATCGAAGTGTTTATTTTACCCATCAAATTGTTACTCTAACGTAATACGTAAACGCAAGAGTTACTATACAATATAGTTATGTTACTATAAAAATAAAAAAGGAAGAATGGACCATGGATTGTAGGTTAATAATTATTTTTATAGTTATCCAACCCAAAAAATATAGTAAGCTAATTTTTTTTATAGTAATTATATACCTATAAAATTGATAAAGTTAGGATAACTAATTTTGATAGTTAATGAACTATTTACTTTTGCAATTACAAAATCCGACATCACATGAACGTAACTATGTTAATAATGGCTTAATTATTAAATAGTAAACAAAGCAAAAACAAATACATTACAACCATATTTAATAGTAAAGTACATAAAATATAGTTACTAAATTATCTGCATTTTTTAATTTTACCAACCAAATTTTTTTGTGTGCACCAAAGAATGGCTTAAACAAGATGGTATTAAGGTTTGTATGTACACATATGTGTGACTGTTATTTTTATACGCCAGGTTCGAGCCAGTTTGTTGCCCCTGCTCTCTTCTCTGCTTTTTCGTCTTTCTCAGCCTCTTCTGTTCACAATCTGAACCATCAACGATGATTCTTGACGATTCAACTTCAACCATCGCAACCCAAGTTCGATTCAACGAAAAGACCACGCGCAACCGCAGTCGTCGCTTCAGTCGCTCGGGGATTACTTGTTACGCTCCGTTTTTGTTACGGCCACTGTTATTGTTATTCGCTTTTACCTTTCAGGTAGCTTAAAAAGTGAAACGACCCGTTAAGTTGACCACTCCATGGTCCCACAAGTGAGCCGAAGGAGACGTTGTTGTACGAACACTTATACATTCAACAGTGTACAAAAGAATGGCAGTGTTGACAATACTATGCCATAGAAATCGCTTAACGCTGGATTCGCGTACAATTTATGTACATAAGAAACCCAGCCCATTTCATCGCAAAGCTAAACTTGGAGATTTTATTATTTGCGAATGCTACCAGAGTAATTTCTTTGGAGCGTGGATAAAAGCTTTTTAAAAATAATTTGGGGGGTATTAAAGAAATCGCAGAGCGCCCATTCAGCGTAAGTTTCTTACATACATAATTTTGTTGATCAATATAAATTTTAAACGACAAAGCTCTGAGTTGAATTCTGTGGCACCCCTGTATAATCCAAAATGCTATACACAGCTACAGAAATACATAAACTCCTATGCGCCTTTTTAAGAATAAAACATTTATTTACATATAAAGTGACTGGACACTGATCGTTGATTTCTCTCTAATGTTGCCTAAAATGCTATTTTATGCTCCCTTCCCAAGATTTCATCCGTTGGAAACGGTTGAACAATGGCCGCGTTCAGCAAAACATCGGGATAACCGATTACTGATCTATCAGTAACCAGTTATCATGTTGTTCTGCTGAACGCAGAGGATACATATCGACGTTGAAAAGGTAAAACATTTTAACTGAAAATGTCCACTATTCAATTAAAATGTTTTTTTAATTAGTTCTAGAGTAGTTTAGAGTGTAGAGTTTTTGACAATTAAGCCTAGTACTCACATCGACGAAAACAGCGAGCTAGCCATAGGAGAGACCGAGAGGCAAATAGGCGGCTAACGCTTTTCGTAGGGTCTGTTTTTCATCGCGGTACTTAGATGAGCTAAGGAAATACCAGAAAAAATACCGAATTTAGGGAATGAATTTCGATTAACGCCGTTAGCCACCGCGCAAGGAAATATGAAATTGATCTTTGGCTGTGTTGTTTGTCCTGGAGCGTCCTGTGAGAAGAGAAATAAGTATGACTAATCCCAGCTGTGGAAGGGGCATTACCAAAACAGGACAAAACCGCAGAAGAGTGAAAGTGCTGGAGGTAATCCAACTGAGAAGCCCATTGGAAAGGAGCATGCCGAGTGGGATTTCGCTTTCTATTTAGACATTCTGCAAAGAAAGTAGGTTTTGGCCATAAGAATTTTGTTACGTTGTACTAATATAAGTTGTTTTTAGCAGAACCACCAATAATACGATCTCTGAGGATCTCTCCAATGGGGAATCGCTGAACCCCACCACCACCAGCTACTTGGCAGCTAAACCCTATTCACACAGATGTTCACGCTTCAGCGACGTTTTCTTCCATTAGAAATACAACTAGCTTCAGTGCAAAATGGGCAAATCGTTTCAGCATTTCAGTGCTTTTATTCAGAATTTTTTCGAAGTTAAATAATTTTTTTACTTGGTGTTTCAGTATTTTTTTGAGAAGGCAGTACTTTTTTTTTAAGGAAATGACTTACCTCCAGCTTATGTCCTTCTTGACTAGACCTGGCACCTGTTGCACCAAACGTACATTATTTGTCTTAAGAAATAGCCATTTAAAGGCACATCCTCCTCCCAAAATTGGTAAAAATTGTTGCTTAAAAAAATGATATAGTCAAAGAACCGTATACAAGGAAGTTGTTAATGTCCAAACGATTCTAACTTGTTATAATTCTCGTGGCGTCACTTTTGGCCCACAAACGTCCCAATTCAATATTCACCACGCTGGTCAGAGTAGAAGTCTCATCCTTTATCAATTTCCTAATAGCAGTGAAATAGTCATTTGACGCCACATGCTAGCGCTCAAATTGAATTTTTTATTTCGTTGACTTTCTTTTTTTAGAGCAACTGAATTTGCATGTCCTTTCCCTTCGGAAACGGTTTGTTTATGCCAATCAGCTGTTCGCTTCAATGATTCTCTATGTGAACAAGAAGCCGCTTTATATTGCAACAGCGATAAATGGATGCAAGCGCGACCGTTTCATAATGAAAATGGGCCAAAAAACGACAACTTAAATAAAGTTTAACGAAAAAAAAAACAATTTTAAGTGGAAGTTTTACTTAAAACCGTTACCGAAATGACTGATCCCATCCCAACACCAACACTGATAGTAAACACTATACGGCTGTGAGCACTTCCGACCGAGACAGAAAGATATGGAGTCCTTACCCTGTAGTTCCACAATTTAGCACTGACACCCAGCGGCTTTTTGGTGCAGTAATGCATCGTTGGACATGCCTATGTTCAAATTATCACCACACTTCATACAAAATCATTAGTGATTAAGCCTTCGGTGATAATCGTTTTGAAGTGATTCACCTCCTAAAAAGCGATGAATGGTACTGCAGGGTAACGCCACAATGTATAAAGCCGAATAGGAATAAATTGTTTTATTATTAATGTAGGAAACAGGTGTGGGGGAAAGCCGTGAATCTTTTTGTTTAAACATTGGAATGCAATCTCAAATGAAGAATAAGAAAATTAGTTTTGCCCTTTGAAGGAAATGTGTTAAATTTGTAAAATAAATACAAATTAAATATTTTTTAGCAAATGAATATCTGTAGGTGTTATAAAGAATTTGTATTTAAACGAATCTCATTTGCCCCGTCATATACAAAACACACGCACGGTTATCTTGTTTTCAGTATACCTATTTTTATTAGTTTACCACATGGATTAGATTTATTAGCACATTGTCATTCTTTCTAATCTTTTTTTTTCATGTATTTAAATAAAAGGAAACCATTACCAGTAAATATTTAAACAAACAAAAACCCTTCTAATAGTACATGTGGCATTTTGTTAGTGTCGGGGCGTGAGTTGCTTGATCGCTGAAATAGTAGGAAATCTCAGAACGAAGAAACGAAAAACACGGGTTGTTGCGCGACGTGCGTGGGTGTTTATTTGGATACTTGGAAAATATAACTGCTTAAGCCTAGTTTAACTAAAGCGCTCTAGAGCGGGATGGAGACGTAGGGGAGAGTTGGAAAGGGAGAACGAGATGTGTGAGATCATGTGCTCTGGAAACTTGCGCTGAATAGGACGAAATTGTGTGTGGAATTGAGGCGGATAGTGGACTTCGAGGGTCGGATGGAATCGGCGTAGTGGTAGGACCGCTGTTTTGATGAAACAGTGGTAGGACCGCTGTTTCGATGAAACAACGTGTGATGCTGATCTTGGTAAGTGAAACCGTTGTGAGCGCTTATGCAATCCCGGAATTGATGGTTGATGGCAAAGCAATTGAAGAACAACTATTTTCCTTGAATATAGGCTAAACGATAATTTACCGTCATTTGGAGGACGCGTGGGCATATAAGCACGGGGTAGTTCTTCTTTGAACACAGATCGCAGGCGTTGAGTACTGTATCGAGAGAGTTTCCAGGTGTTAGGTTAGGTTTTTTCCAGGCTGAGCGAAAGCCCTTATTGGAAAGTGGGTATTTCGAAACAATGGAATGAGCTTCGCCACTAGTTTTGGAATTTAAGTATATCGTTCCATGTATATCGTCGCGATAAGGTCCCGGAAAGTCGGCGAAGAAAATCAACAGAGAAAACCTCTGTGTCGACGGGAGAGAGCCGACAGCCATATGACGAGTAACTATGGGAAACTGCTATTATAGTTTGAGAAATTATGGAGGAGCTTTATGGGTTTTGTTCCATGAGCTGCGCGGCAAACATTTCATAAGTGGAGTATTTTTGGTTATACTTGAATTTTAGTATGGATTTGGTGTCTGCGGCGCTCTCGTCTGCAGCCACAACGCATATGTCATATTCTGCCTTTACCGTTTGCCACAATGAATTGAAATGATCGTGACGGATTTTACTGGCGGATAAGCACGTGGAGCGTTTACAGTGGCCTCAAATTGGATCAGGCAGTCAGCTGTGGCCAAAAATTTTTCTAAAGCGGATTTTGCTGATAATGCCATGACGGAAAATAATTTAGAATTTTAAAATACCAAGATGCGTAACCCGGAGTAAGAAAATGTACACGGGCGGAGTTATTTTTGCAATATATCATTTTAAACCTATTTTTAGAGTGCCGACCTGAAAGGCTTAACAATTACAAATGGTCTGTGGCGCATTGCGTAAGTTGGTGGCCCGCGGATAATGCGTGCGAGGTTCAACTTCACTCTGAGGCTGGATTTCACTTTACAATTGGTATACCCTTGCAGAGGGTATTATAATTTCAGTCAGAAGTTTGCAACGCAGTGAAGGAGACGTATTCTTAATGAGCATAACTAGACGAGTCTATCTAGCCATGTCCGTGTGTCCGTCAGTTTCTACGCAAACTAGTCTTCTTTTGCAGGTAGCGTAGCAGTCGGAACCAGCCGGATCGGACAACTTTATCTTATAGCTCCCATAGGAATAATCGGATAAAAAAATTAAAAAAAATGATATCTGTTGAGTTTTTTAACATATAACACCCTGCGCTTGGAAATAACACTTTATAATTAGTTCTGAATTTCGAATTTAATTTTTTCAAAATCGTACGACTATATTATATAGCTGCCGTAGGAACGATCGGAAAATTGGTCGGAAAATAATATGAAACAAATTATAGCTTCTGTGTTTTTTGACATATTATCTTATACTATTGGGAATATCATTATTAGTCTTTTTAAGAATTTCGAATTCAATTTAATAATTATAACTGCAAGGGTAAAGAAACTTAAGTTAACTTCCTTTCTTGTTATACCCTTGCAGAGGGAATAATGATTTCGGCCAGATAAAGTATATATATCCTTGATCAGCATCAGTAGACGAGTCGATCTAGCCATGTCCGTCTGTCCGTCCGTTTCTACCCAAACTAGTCTCTCAGTTTTAAAGCTATTGGGCTGAATCTTTCCCAAAAGTCTTATTTCTGTTGCATGTCGTATATAAGTCGGAACCAGCCGGATCGAACAACTATATCTTATAGCTCCCATAGGAAATCAATTTTTAATAAAAAAAAACCTTTGGTGTTTTTAAACATATAACCTCCTACGCTTGGAAATAACATTTTTTAATTAGTTATAAATTTCCAATTTAATTTTATCAAAATCGGACGACTGTATCATATAGCTGCCATAGGAACGATCGGAAAATTGGTGGGTAAATAATATGAATCAAATTATAGCTTCGGTAATTTTTTTTACATATTATATTATACTATTGTGAATATCGTATTTTGTATTTTTAGGAATTTTGAATTAAATTTAATAATTATAACTGCAACATTATACAAACTTCGACTTGCCAAAGTTAACTTCCTTTCTTGTTTTAAGATCATTCCTATGTGAGCTATAGGATATAGTCGTCCGATCCGGCTCGTTCCGACTTATGTACTACCTGCAACAGAAATAAGACTTTTGGAAAGGCTCCATCCCGATAGCCTTATAACTGAGAGACCATGGAAACTTCGGCTTGTAGAAGTTAGAGTCATTTGTTGCTTTTATATTATGAAAACTTAAAGTGCTGGAAGTTAATGAGGTTCATAAAATTAAAGCTTAATAAAGCTACTACTTGCGGCAAAACAATTATATTTTTAACAGACATTTTTTGGTCAAAAAAATATTTAACTTATTATTTAACATTATTTAATTAACATTAATTTAATTTAACATTAAAAAGCCAAAAGTATTTTTTTCGAACCAAATTATTAGCATACTTGTGTTTTTATTAACAATTTCTTAAAAACTTTACCAAATATAAGGAAATGGGTGCACGGAAGCCGTTTTCACCGTTTGGAGTCTAAAATGGCGTTCTATAGGACTCTCACCATGCAAAAATGCAAGGCACATAGGTCTATACAAAGCTTAAGGTGGTCATGGAGGCGAAAGGATCACACAACAGAATAATGTGATCCCTCAGATCTACTCATTACAGATCAAAGTTTAGGATAGAAAGGGCCTTGGTAAATATATTCACCCAATAGCTATTCGGAAGGTCCTGCTATGTTTTAAGTACCAGTTTTTGGCAACTAAAATAAAACGATTGATTTTAAAGGTTTAATTACCGAATCCTTTCACCAAGGGAAAGTATTATTATATCACATGAGAAGGTGACAAGGATCCAGAAGTTAATTTGGGTACTTAGATACCATCTTTCGAAGTATAAATGGTTATGTTCTTGACTTTTAATATGCCAAATTTTCCTTAAATCAAGAAAGCGCTACTATATAATATAGGAAATGGTATCATAAACTTGAATCGCCCTAAAAACAACAACAATTTTCTTTATATCTAGAAATTATTTTCTTATAAATTGAAAGGTTAATGAAAAAAAAATTATTTTGAATTACCTTTTCTAAAAATGATTACTCTAACCCTAAACTTATTCTTACCCTTAAAATATAAATATTTGGTTAGAAATCTATGTGACGCAGGTTCAATCCCAATGACACCCTCTTTTATTTACGTTTTTTTATTTTTTTATGAAACATTTTTGTACCGCCATGTCAAACGGTTAGGTTCAGTTATTAAGTTAAATTGATGCAAAGAAAGACACACAGTTGTGGTGTTGTAGATCTTTACCATGAACTTACTTGGCTACACTAATATAAATTGCATTGAATTCCATAGATACCTAAAACGCTAATGGTGAAGAATTCTACAAGTAGAAATCACATGTCTCTGTCTGCTTCCAATGCTCGGTTTGCCGAAGCTAATTTAAGTGCATTGACCTAGTATGTAGTGGGTTTACTCATCGCGCGGAAGAATCTGGTTCGGTCCCACCGGCGAACAAATTGAAATGTAAGTTCTTTTTTAGGCAGATAAAAATGTTTAACTAATTAATATTTTCTACATTCCCCCATATATCACGAATAAACATGTTTTTATTTTTCTAAAAAAAATTTATACTTTTTTTCTCCTCATGGGAACCGGGTGTGTTAACTTGTATGGCAAAATTTTTGGTGTGGATTTTTGATGTGGATTTTCGATCTTTCTTGTTTGGTTGCCCGTGTAAGATTCTTTGGTTGTGTTAGTGTATAATTTCGTGTGCTTTCCCAGTCGGCATGTGGTGCTTGATTCCACAATAATTTCCATAGGAAAAATCAATCAGATGTTGGCACCTAGTGAACTTTTTCAGGGGGTTTCAGGGGGAATTGTTTCGACGAGGCGTTCGCTGCTCGTGAACATACACCCAAAAAAAAAATCGCCCTTAAATCAAGAAATTCGCCTTTAAATCAAGAAAATCGCCTATGATTTTCATCCAACGGCGACTCACCTTTATTTTAAATAAATAATTTTCTTGAATTTATGGTTTGCCATTTCTGGAAATAATGACAAATTTTTCTTAAATGTATGGTAAAAAACCTTAAAATTAAGGAAAAATTTATTAAAATAAGAAAAAAAATATTTATAATGTAAGATTACATTACATTTTACACTTTACATTAGAGGAATTTGGTTGGTTTTGTATACCAATTTTGGAATTTAAATGGATAAAACCGTTTCTAATTTTAATGGCAATTATTACATGGGAATACAGTCTGAAAATTTTTATATTTACCTGAATTTATTAAAGATTTAATTTATATAAATACTTTTTATAAACATATAAATAAATACAACAAATGGAAAAATCCTTACCTCAGACAACCCCGGAGTGAACTCGAACCCGCAACTGCTCACACCATGGCCAGACGTCTTAACCATTCGGCCACGCGTGCTTCTTGTCATACAATGACTAAACATGGCTAAGGTGTTTTTGGTCCAGCTTTACGCATACCAATAACGTTTATTCTAATCTAAACCTTTTTAACAACCGTTTAAACAATTTGGTAAATAGAAAAGTGAAACTAATAAGAATAAAAATTACATAAATTAAAAAAAAAATAATAATAATAAAAAAAGGGTACACTTGCCGTAGCGTGGGCTCGAACCAGGTACTTTGGTTCGATTGTTTATTGACCGGACGTCTTTACCAGCTAGACCACCATCAAAATGTATAAAAAAAAGTAACTTTTTCTTAAAACATGGGTATTTCTTTCCTAAATTTAAGTAAGAATTTACCATTATTTCAAGAAAAAAAATCAAGAAAAATTCGCCATTAGTTTAAGAAAAAAATGCGGTTCTTCCTCTTCTTCATTACAAAAAAAAAATAAATTATGGCGAATTCCTTAAATTGTTGACATTTTTTCTATAATCAAGAAAATATTTCTTATTTCAATGGCGTTTTGAAATCACGGGCGATTTTCTAATATTTATGGTGATTTTTTTTTTGAGTGTAGGAAATTCCATAGGACAAATTCAGGGAGAAATATTCCCTTAAAAGCAAGCGCAAAGCATTTTATTTTTAAAACAAGGGGAACGCTATAGTCGAGTACCTCGACTATCAGATACCCGTTACTAAGCTAAAGGGACCAAAGGGAAATGGACATATGCAAGCAGCTAAGCAATATTAAAATGTGCCACCTACCGGCGGTAGACAGATTTAAGCGTTATGGGCGTTAGAGTGGGCGTGGCAAACATTTTTTGGGGTCAATCGATAGGTATTGACGGGACTAATACATTTCAGCAAACATTTTTTTCTAGCATGACAATTGTGGGCGCCACAGGCTTAGGCGGTTTTAAGTAAATTGATAGGTATTGATGAGAACAATAAATTTCAAGTAAAATTTTTATTCTAGCATCAAAACTGGAGGAGCCATAGTTTTGGGCGGTTTGTGGGCGTGGCACATTGCCGAAACAAACTTGCGCTGCGCAAGAAGCTCAGGAATCTGCATGCCAAATCTCAATAGCCTAGCTCTGATAGTTTCCGAGATCTCAGCGTTCATCCGGACGGACAGACAGACGGACATAGATAGATCGATTCGGCTAGTGATCCTGATCAAGAATATATATACTTTATGGTGTCGGAAACGCTTCCTTCCGACTGTTACATACTTTCTGATGAATCAAGTATACCCTTTTACTCTACGAGTAACGGGTATAACAAACTTTTATGTATAAATTTTTTCTCCCCGAGCATTTTAAACCTAATCAAAAGGTAAAAAATTAGTTACCGTCGTTAATGAAACAAAATACAATTTTAACTATACTAAGATATGTCAAAATATAACTTTTTCCGGCCTAAAGGGACCAAAGGGAAATGGAGATATGCAAGCAGCTAAGCAATATTAAACCTATTTAAGCGTTATGGGCGTTAGAGTGGGCGTGGCAAACATTTTTTGGGGTCAATCGATAGGTATTGACGAGACTAACACATTTCAGCTAACATTTTTTTCTAGCATGACAATTGTGGGCGCCACAGGCTTAGGCGGTTTGTGGGTTTTAGAGTGGGCGTGGCAAACTTTTTTTTTTGATCATTTGATAGGTATTAAGAAGATTAATACATTTCAGTTTAAATTTTTTATCTAGCATAAAAATTGTGGGCACCACAGCTTTGTGGGCGTTAAAGTGGGCGTGGCCTCTTCGCGTAGCAAACTTGCACTGCGTACAAGGCTACGGAATCTAAATCTGAAATCCAAATTTTATATCTTCTATAGTTTCTGAGATATCCGCGTTCATATTAATGATTTTTTGAAGTTTGTGGGCGGTTTGTAGGCGTTAAAATGGGCGTGGCAAACTTTTTAAGTAAGTTGATAGGTATTGATGAGGACAATAAATTTCAAGTAAAATTTTTATAGGAAATTCCATAGGACAAATTCAGGGAGAAATATTCCCTTAGAAGCAAGTGCAAAGCAATTTATTTTTAAAACAAGGGGAACGCTATAGTCGAGTACCTCGACTATCAGATACCCGTTACTAAGCTAAAGGGACCAAAGGGAAATGGAGATATGCAAGCAGCAAAGCGAGATTAAAATGCGCCACCTACCGGCGGTAGACAGACTTAAGCGTTGTGGGCGTTAGAGTGGGCGTGGCAAATTTTTTTTTGGATCAATTGATAGGTATTGACGAGACCAAAAAACCAAAATTTTTTATGTAGCATGAAAATTGTGGGCGTCACAGGTTTGGGCGGTTTGTGGGCGTTAAAAAGGGCGTGGAAAACTTTTTTTTGGGTCAATCGATAGGTTTTGATGAGAAAAATACATTTCAGTTAAAACTTTTATTCTAGCATCAAAACTGTAGGAGCCACCGTTTTGAGCGGTTTGTGGGCGTTAGTGTGGGCGTGGCACATTGCTGAAAAAAAACTTGCGCTGCCAAATCTCAATAGCGTAGCTCTTATAGTTTCCGAGATCTCAGCGTTCATCCGGACAGACAGACAGACGGACAGACAGACATGGCTAGATCGACTCGGCTAGTGGTCCTGATCAAGAATATATACTTTTGAGGTCGGAAACGCTTCCTTCTGCCTGTTACATACTTTCCGACGACTCTAGTATACCCTTTTACACTACGAGTAACGGGTATAAAAATAACTTTCTTGAATTTATGGTTTGCCATTTCTGGAAGTAATGACAAATTTTTCTAAATGTTTAGTAAAAAACCTCAAAATCAAGGAAAATTTTCTTAAAATAAGAAAAATATTATTTATATTGTAAGATTACCTTTTTTTACATTTGAGGAATTTGGTTGGTTTTGTTTACCAATTTTGGATTTTAAATGGATAAAACCGTTTTTAATTTTAATGGCAATTATTACATGGGAATATAGTCTATAAATTTTTATTTTTACTGCAACTGCTCACAACATAGCCAGACGTCTTAAGTATGTATGTCAGAAAACACCGAAGCTATAATTTGTTTTATATTATTTTCCCACGAATTTTCCGATCGTTCCTATGGCAGCTATATGATATAGTCGTCCGATTTTGATAAAATTAAATTCGAAATTCAGAACTGTTAAAAAATGTTATTTCCAAGCGTAGAAGGTTAAAAAACACCGAAGCTATAATTTGTTTAATATTATTTTCCAACCAATTTTCTGATCGTTCCTATGGCAGCTATATTATATAGTCGTCCGATATTGATAAAATTAAATTCCAAATTCAGAACTAATTAAAAAATGTTATTTCCAAGCGTAGGAGGTTATATGTTCAAAAACACCGAAGCTATAATTTGTTTCATATTATTTTCCCACCAATTTTGCGATCGTTCCTATGGCAGCTATATGATATAGTCTTCCGATTTTGATAAAATTAAATCCGAAATTCAAAACTAATTAAAAAATGTTATTTCCAGGCTAAGTAGGTTATATGTTAAAAACACCAAAGATATTTTTTTAAAAAATTGTTTTTTCAATTTTTTAAATAATCCTTTGGAAGCCATAAGATATAGTTGTCCGATTCGGCTGGTTCCGACTTATAAAGTACCTGCAAAAGATATAAGACTTTTGGGAAAGTTTCAGCCCGATATCATTACTGAACTGAGAGACTAGTTTGCGTAGAAACGGACGGACAGACGGACATGGCTAGACAGACTCGTCTAGTCATGCTGATCAAGAATATATATACATTATGGGGTCGGAAATGTTTCCTTCACTGCGTTGCAAACTTCTGACTGAAATCAATATACCCTCTGCAAGGGTATACCTATGGCGAAATCCGTAAATTTTAGAAATTTTATCTATAATGAAGAAAATATTGCTTAATTCAATGGTTTTTTAAAATCACTGGCGATTTTCTAATATTTACGGTGATTTTTTTTCTGAGTATACTATAGCTCATACGACTATGAGTATTATAGCAAAAGTGAATTGAACTACCATTTTATAATTAATGTTTACAACAAAAGCTTCTGATATCAAACAAAAACTTCTCTTAACGAGGTAATGGGTCGTGACGATCGCACCTTCAATATACAAAAGTT